TAAATAGAAACCACTATTTTTTATGGTTTCTTTATGCAAAAATCGGTAATTTTTGTTCGAGGTATTTTTCGAATAGTTGATAGATGTCGCTATAATCGAAAAAAAAAACGATTTAACCTGTTATCCTATGAAAAATATGGAAATGGTCTAATACCTCAAAAGATACACTTCGGAATGAAAAATTGAAAAACACGTATAATATTTTTCAAAAATATATTGAATCACACCAAACTGCACCCCTCCCCATCCATCTCCTGGGGCAACTATGAAATCCTTAATAGGAACTCCCATTTTTTATTGCAGGTTCAGATTCTGCAAAAAAATCTTAAAAACTGTATTCAGTACCATAATAATTAGTTTGCAGACTTCTAATGTGTATTTATTTTTCAATTACAGCGCCATCTATTACTAATCAAAAAAGATTAGATAAGACTTGTTTACTTTTTCACGTAGAATTCTGATCTGCAATAAAAAATGTCGTTTTCCTTTTAACATTTCAAAATTGTCCTCTCTCTGCTCTAGAGGTTGGGGCTGGAGGTCATGTTTGGTATTATTTGACAGATTTTTAAAAAATATTAAAAATGTGTTAGCAGGTCTGCTAGAACAAATAAGTAGACATAATAGTGAAGTGATAGTTAAGCCTGAAAATAGTACAGCAGCTAGTTGCAATTTGCATAGGGCTCCAAAGATGAACAAAAATATATCAATTTTAATCTAAATTTAACACAGACAAAATCTAAATAAAATCCATTTTTCAACAGAAGTGGTCGAATAGTAAATAGACCAAAAAGATTTTCGTTTTCAGAAGAGATATATTATACAAAATATATTTACAAATTATATTTTATATTGGTGGATGGATTTTAAGGGAGATTGGAATAAGAGGATGGAGAAAACAGACACTCTACAGGGAAGGATGGAAAAATGTTTTGAGGGAGGCCAGGGCTCACGAAGGGCTGCAGCGCTACCTGATGATGATGATGATGATTGATGGATTAGTCAAAAATAATCGTTACGAACATATTTGCTATGTTTACTACAATTTACACAGAGAAAGGAATAATAAATAGCAAGGCAGCAATATGGTTTCACAAACCGTTTGTATGGTTTAAAAAAAGTGGGAAATAATAGAAGAAGCTATGAAGGAACCAGCTCAAAAGCGGTTAGCTCAAGTAAAGAAGGGGATAGGTAAAGAATGGTTTGATGCCGATTGCAAGAAAACAAACGAAACGAGGCAAGACTAAAATATATGGACAAAGCAAGTGACGAAAATAGAAATGAATATGAAGCAGAGAGAAAACACGCGAAAAAAGTGTCCAGGAGGAAGAAAAAGGAGCATATGGATTAGCTCCAAAAAATTAAAGGACATTATATTAATCAAAACGTAAGAAACTTCTACCAGGAGGCAAAAAGGAGCAGTGACAAAGGCGCAAGAAACACAAGAATAAAGAAGGGTCCTTAATAGGAGATAAGCAGGAGAAGCTACATAGAAGGCAGGAGCATTTCAGAGAGCTGTTTAATGAATAACCGGATGGAAATGATGAGGAGGAAGTAGAATGGTAAGCGAAGTCAACGACTAGGCGGAAAAAATAAAGACTCTTACAATAGTAAGATTATAAACAATAATTTAAAGATTTAAGTTAATAAACAATAAAAAGTGCAGGCAGTATTGGTATTCTTGCAGAACTAATCAAGCATGGAGCAGAAGCAAATATAACAGATATGTAGACTACTGACGAAAATCTGAGAGAGAATGCATGGAGAGAGGCAATAGTATGCCCCATTCATAAGAAGGGAGATAAAGCAGTGTGCGAAAACCACAGGGGTATTACTCTTTTGGATGTAACATACAAGACACTCTCTAGAGTCATAAGAAATAGACTGAAAAGGCACTTAAACGAGCAGGTTGATATAAATCGCCGAATACCAGGGATGATTCAAAAAGTGCAGATCCATCACAGATCAAATATTCGTGTTAAAAATAATTCAGAGCAGTACGTACGAGCAAGAGTTACAGCTAAATCTACTCTTTATAAATTTCAAACAAGCTTACGATTCTGTGATATGATGGCGTTTTTTCCATGCCCTAAGAGTACTTGGAATTCCGGAAAAAATGATAAGACTAGTAAAAATAACCTTAATGAATACCGATAATAGAGTAAAAATTGAAGGAAGCCTAATAGAAAAATTTTAAATAAGAATGGGACTAAAGCAGGGAGATACGCTGTCCACAATACTGTTCAATTTCTTACTGGAGGCAATAATGCGAGAGAGGGGAATATGAAGGTGTGATTTATGACAACAGAAGCCAGGTGGAACTGCTGGGCCAAGAACTTAAGAAGTGCTGAGGATTTTTTAACTCTTTGAAACGAAGGCTAAATAGTTTAGATTGATTATTAATGAGCAAAAAACAAAGCACCTATATGGAAATGGGACAGACCACATATAAAGACACACAATTGAAGACTACCACAAACAACACGAGTAAAGAGTATTGCTTCAAAAAGGTGACGGAGTTTGAGTATCTAGGAGATACCCTAACAAGTATAGGGGAAGAAAGCCAAGAAATAGAGGCAAGGATTTCGAGAGGAAGGAAGACGGTAAGAGCTCTACATAGTGATTCAATCCATGCTCTTGTACGAAAGCGAGACATGAGTTATGAACAAAAGTCAAGAAAATATGCTGAACATCTGGGAACGGAGTGTTTTAAGGAAGGTATTCGGGGGAGTAAAAGACTATGAAGACGTTTGGATGAGACTGACAAATACAGAGATCAGAGTGCTGGAAAACCAGAAATTAGTCAGATCATCAGGACAAAAGGACTTAGATTCCACTTACAATTACCACCTCTAAGACTCTACGCTTGGAAATCTCCAGCTGACTGTCCAAAAAAAAAACTGATTAAAAATCAGATTGACTACATCATTATCAACAAACGATTTCAGAATTCCGTAAAATCCACAAAAACATATCCGGGAGCAGATGTTTTACTAGGACGTTTCAAACTCCATATGAAAAAAGTCCATAAAAGAAAAGCCCAAAAACGTCCGGACATCCAGAAGTTGAAAGATAAAACCACAAGAGACGAAGTCAAAGAGGAGATCAACAACAAAATAAACAGCATGGTTATCTCAGATATTAATCAAGAAAACATAAGTGTGTATGATATGTAGAATAAAATCAAAAATATCTGCCATCAAAAAAGAAACAGCCGTGAATGAGACAAGAAATATAAGAGCTAACGGAAGAACGAAGACAACACAGAAATAAGAATGAGGAAAGGTACAAAGAAATAAACAAAATCATTGAGAAAAAGATTAAAGAAGCAAAAGAATCACGGCTACAAGATCAATGAATATAAGTAGAATCCCTAGAACAGAAGCATGACACTTTTAACCTACATAAAAAGATCAAGAACTCTACAGAATTATAAACTTAATGAGCCATGTACTCAAAATCCTTCTCTCTGTTGTTCACTCTCGCATATATAGAAAACTTGAAGAAAACGTTAGCAGTGTTCAGTTTGGGTTTAGAAGCGGACTGGGAACGCGAGATGCCCTATTTTCCATACAAGTATTGATACAAAGAGCTCGAGACGTAAATTGCGAAGCCTACGCATGCTTTATAGACTTTGAAAAAGTATTTGACAAGATGCAACATCAAACATTATTTCAGACACTGAAAGAATCTAGTATTGATGACAAATATTTACGCCTAATTAAAAATGTATACTTACAGCAAAGGGCAACTGTACCAGTAGACAACGAAACCTCACAAGAATTCACGATACAACGGGGAGTACGTCAGGGCTCCATTTTGTCACCGACGTTGTTCTATACTTACTTGGAAATGCTGTTCAGCGAAGCTATTGATGGTTTAAGAGAAGGTATAAAAATCAATGGTGAAATCATAAACAATTTAAAATATGGGGACGATACGGTTTTGATTGCTGATAATGCGGAGGATCTGCCAACATTATTAGACCGTGTAATGGAAGCCTGTGACAGATACGGCATGAAATTAACCTGTAAGAAGACCAAAATTCTTGCAGTAAGTAAAAACGACGTAATAAAGCACCAATTCACAACTAATAATGAACCCTTGAAAATAGTCGACAAAATTACATATCCTGGATGCAGCCTAATTAAGGAATGGGACCACTCACAGGAAATAAGATGTCGTATAGAAAAGGCGAGAGCTGTTTTTAATCGCCTCAGGAAGATTTTATGTAATACACACCTGAACATTGATATAAGAACAGAAGTCTTGAGATGCTATGTATTTTCTACCCTTTTATATGGAGTCGAAGCGTGGACCTTCACGGAGGTAACATCCAAACGATTAGAAGCCTTCGAAATGTGGTCAACGTATGAATAAATATCTGGAAATTATGCGTATCGTGAAAATCAGAAAGATGACATACTTAGGGCATGTGATGCGCAATGAGAAGTATCAACTAATTCAACTAATTTCACAAGGCAAGATCTCAAGGGCGTAGAAGGACATCGTGTTTGAACAACATTGACATGTCAAATCGCATCATTGATATGTCACGCCATTCAGCATGTTGACTGCTACTACCGACCCGTTTAAATAGCGATTCCATAGCCTCCTTAAATTACGTTTTTTCGGTGGCACTATATTTATATAAATATAAGAGGGAAGGAAAAACAACCTACTGATTAAGAAGGTTACCAGATGGAAGCCAGAAACTGGAGAAAACCCAGAGAAAGATGTGAGGACTAGTTCATGGAAGGTATCAAAATTCTGAAAGTGAGAAACTGGATGGAACTATGCACAGATGGAAATGAGTGAAAGAAAATTATAACGAAATCCAAGTCATACAACAAACTCTGAAAATGCACAAGAAGAATGAGGAGGGGTTCATCGCAATAAGCGAATCTGCGAGCTGTAAGTAAGAGCACAAATACTCTATCAGGAATGAAAGGCCTTGATGAATATGATATATAAAAATATACTCATAATAATATTTTACTCACCTTGATAGAACTGAGCATACTGTGGAAATCCTGTTGCACGTAACCACTTACAGGCTTCTGCTGCTTCAATTTCTGAGAAAAAACCAAAAAATAAGTTACATTTTGTACTATTCAATGATTTTAGATAACTGTGTTTTAAATTTAATAAAAATTCACCTAATAAATTTATGTTTGTACGTGGTACATTTTTCCAAAACTTAAACATTTTTCACTTTTTTAATATTAAAACCATTGAATCAACTTTGGCAACAATTTGCACTCTTACGCGTATGATTTAACAATTACATCTAAAGATATTAACAGTCCCCACTAGGTTGAATTTTCCGAAGTCGTTTCGGTTATCTCAGTAATGATTGGCGTTTTATTATACTTCCATTGTGAATATTTTCTGGTAAACGATTCGCAGAAAACATTCCTATTTCATTAGGGACTTGTTTATACTTTTGTTATTACCATGTGCTATACACATTGTGAAAGCTTGTGAATCACTTTTGAAACCAATTAACAGGTGTGATAACATATATTTAAACTAAAAAAGTAAAAAAGAAGCATAACTGCAATCAATTTAAAGCTTTTCAATGTACTGCTAGAGAATTTTCAGGTCCAGTTTCCAAATTTTTCTAAAAAATTGCTTCTATTCGTCATGATACATCTTTAAAACCGTAACGACAAACATTTTTCTTCCAAAATTGTTCAAATTTTCTGGACGTTTTTGATCTTTTTCGAGGTATAATCGTAGCGAAGCAACGAGAGAATCAACATACTCCGTGACCAATGACAGCTGGTGCTGTTCAATAAAGACAACCAACCATAACAGTTCTTGTTGTGAGCTTACTGCCCACAGCAAGACGGTAACAATTTCCTTCCTCAACAAATACTCACAAATGAACCTCTCGGGTGGTTAACTGCCAAGAGGTACGAGAAAATGTCCGCCTGAAAATTACATGTTTCAACGTTCAATAAACTCCTCTTTCGTGTCTGTTAAGTAATAGAAATCTCTATGCAATGAAATGTTACATAATAAAATAATTGGAAAACACAATTGTACTTTAATCTTGTTGCAAAAACACTCGCATATTATTTGACAATTGGAGCGTCTTTACATGCCGCTGTTAATAGGGGAATAATTATTAAATAAGGAATAGTCTGACAATTATGGCTCCAATAACAAATGTTTTTGATTATCACGAATATCTTTCAAACTTCTGTTCAGTCCCTGTAATGACATCTTGTGCGTCAATGTACATTAATTCCAAACGATTAATTTGCTTACCTATAAAATCTTCGCAATTGCGCTATTTTTGACGATATTGCGATCTGGTATATCATTAATTTGTATGTTTAATGGTAATTTCAAAGCAAAATGTGCAATTCGTCTGCCTTTTAATAAAGTTGCAGATATTCCAGATAAATCCAACGAATTTAATCCTTGCCAATAACAATAAAATTATCAATCAAGGAAATAAATTTCACCAGATCAAATATTCACAGCTTCTATCAAAGTATCGTACATGTATCCCTTGTTGTTGATTCAATTATAGAAAATTTGTATGAACTATTTGAGCAAATTCTTCAGTGTCGAACTGTTGTTTTCTTTGTAACTGTTCTGTTCTTTCATAAAGTCACAAAGGGAATAAATACCATTTGTCAGATATTAATGGTGCGTCATAAATATAATTTTATTCTATTTGATTCCATCTTATTATATTTTATTTTACTCTATTTTTTCCTCTTTTTTTCTTTAGTTTAATTTTATTTGTATTTGTTTAATTTTATTTGTATTTTATTTGTATTCTTCTATTTTATGCCATTTTATTCTAGTTTATTCCAATTTATTTAATTTTGTTTTAATTTATTTTATTTTACTTCATTTTATTCTGTTTTATTCTAAATTATTTTATTTTTTTTATTTTATTTTAATATAATTTTCTTTTACCCTATTTTATTCTATATATTCTATTTTATTCTATTTTATTTTAATTTAATTTTGTTTTATTTTATTTGTTGCTGTTGGTAATCATTCAGCACTTTGCGTTGTGTTTTGTCTCGTGAAATAAAGTTGTTATTTATTCACCAGGTGAACATCTAAATTAACTACAGTAGGATGACTGTATGAAAAATGAAGAGATTCTCCAACCCGCTTCATTGACATATCTTCCCATATGATATGTTGAAACTTCATCGTTATTATTTGGAGCCAAATACAGCTATGTCGTTATGTCAATCTATCAATACTGACAGTTATTATCCTCTCTCCTGCCGACAAGAATGTAGCTTTAAGGCTCATCCTCGATAATCCTAACGGTAAATTTCAGTTTGCTATCTCTATTTCAAAAATTTCTTTCTATACGAAAACAAATCTGTCATGAAGTAATATTCTAAACTTCGTATCTCTCTCGAGCCCAGGTCAAAAATGCGTTTACCTTTTACTCGAGCCGATTATACACCGAGACAACCCCTGCAGTGACAGGTTTTGGCTTACAATCAGACCATAAATCTCTTTAGTGGTCTTTTGAGTAAATATAATAACAGATCAAAGTAATATAATCTATTCATAAATTTACAATGTAACAAATGTACATACATAATTTATTTGTTATTTTTTTTACGGAAAAATTGGCTGTCTGAAGTTTAACGTAGATGAAAGTTTACGGAAAATAAAAATTATAAAAAAATAGTACATTGTTTACCGGGTAGGAAAAGCTTAACATTCCTGGACGACTGTGAAGATTGTTAAGTCGAGGCGCAAGCCGAGACTTAGCAATACAGAGTCCAGGAATGTGGCTTTTCCTACGAGGTAAACATACTATTTTTCCGCAAATCGTTTAAAATTCGACAGATATTGATTGATTTAAAAAAAACGCGATAATTTTATTCCCAAATAAATGGTGCTTTGAAATTCCTAATAAAATTACTTGGGTTACTATGGAAACGTATTGAGGTTGAATTGTCAAACTTGACGCTTATAAATTTAATTGCTGGTTAACACTAACAACTGTACGGAAATATCATTTCCTTACAGTAAGGAAATGACATTTCCTTACAGTAAGGAAGTCCTGACTTTTTCTTCAAGAAATTTTGACAGGAATGTCAAAATTTCCTGGCGATTTGCGGAAAAGATTATTATTATATATCATAAAAATTTGATTAGTATCGCGATCATTAAACTTGATAAAATGAAACGATATAAATATAGAATTATGTCTAATGTTTCTTCAGAAATTAGAATTATGTATAATGTTTCTTCAGAAACATTATACATAATTCTAGTATGTAATAGAAATCAGTTCTTTTTAAAATTTCTTGAAGGAAGGAATAATTTAATTACGCTATCATTTCCAATATTGATTTTTGATATTGAATTTGATAGGTTGTGATTTATTACACCAAAATCTAATAAAATATACCATGACACAAGAAATAGTTTCAGAATAAGTTTGATGTGTTGTTTATTATCATTCAGTAAGAGGCTAATTTACTTCTTACAATGCTAATCTAACAGACAATTATTATTGTCAAATGAAAGAAATAAGATAATTTACTTGTGTGCTTGTGGTTAGTAAACGTCGGCCCTATGCAACTAATTGTCGATAAAGAACGGAGTACAAAAGTTTAGATTTATGAGATTTATGAGGTGCATTAATGAAACTTAGATGTATACTGAGTACTTATTTCAAAAATTTACAACTAAGGATTTAATTTGTTATATGTAAATATACTCCTAGATCTAGAGAAAATGGGAGTGCGACAATGGGAATTACTGGCACAGGACCGACAAACATGGAAGGCAATAGTAACCGCGGCAAAGACTTACGAAGAGTTGTAGCGCCATTGATGATGATGATGATGATGAAATATACTGTATAACTATTTATATGGATGTGAAATATGGATCATGAAGGATAATATGATGGACGTTTTAGGATGTACGTTGAAAAATTAAGGCAAATATCGAGCACAAATTTAATAATCAAATCTTGCAAAAGTACTTTCGCTTTCTACAGCATCATCAGGGGCATCTGAAATAAGCCAAGAAAAGTTTTTTTTAAATGAAGAAAATTAATAAACTTCGATAAAAAACTCGAAGTTAATGGATGATAAAAGTTTTTTGTGATTAACATTTTAGACTTACTTCGTCAAATTTGGGCTATCCTGCAAGTGCAGATGACCCTGATGATGCTGTAGAAAGCGAAAGTACTTGGGCAAGATTTGATTATTAAATTTGTGCTCGAAATTTGCCTTCATTTTTTAAAGTTCATTTATTCGAGCATTCAACCTTATATCAATAATTTAGGATGTGACTCAGGTATATGATAAAGTATGGCAAAGACGCCAAAACTATAAACTAAGACTACATTTACCAAAACGATACTCTCAAATAATTGACTCCTGCATCTTGGAAAGATATTTCAGAATTAAACAGGAAGAAACAAACATGGAATTGACAGATATTACAGCAGGGCTGCCACAAAGAAGTGTCTTTACCTTTTGTATACGTGTTGTATTATTGTCCTAGAAAATATACAATTGCAACATTTACCGAAGATATTGCTATCATAGCAATGTGCAAAACCAGCAAGGAAGCGACAAAGAAATTACACAGATGTTAATCAAATATATACTCCAGGGAAATAAGCAAAAAATAGACCATGTTCGTGACACTCAATAATCCAGGTCGCTGACAAATTTTTTAGTTATTGTAGACCTCTAGGAAAAAAACCTACTTGTTTCTTGCCTTGAATCTGGAGCTGTTTTTTAATTATTGACAATTTAATGCAAAAAAACGCGACTGTTTCTATGATTATTGATACTACTATTAAAAAAAATAGATTTTTGGAAGAAAATTGTTTTGCACGAATTGTTTAAACAAACTAGACTATTTATTAATTAATTAATATATAAACAAATTACTAATTCCTAATGTACGTAGAAATTACATACAAATTAAAAAAAGAATGATCAAAATCCATTGAGTAGATCCGAAAATATAGAAAATTTTATTAGTTTGAAATTGCTTGTTCGGTATGGATTTGTAGGTTCTTCCTAGTCACCATTTGAACTACATTTTTGAA